ACTCTACTCTAGAACACATATAGACTCAGCCTGCTAGATTTTGTCTAAGAGTTCCCTAAAGTCTTTAGTAAAGAGGAATTTAACCAGCTTCCTAAACACTGTCCCTAGGACTATACAATTGAATTGACTAAAGGTTTCCAACTTAAGGATTACAAAGTCTACCTACTCAACAGAGACAAGTAGGAGGCACTCAATGAGTTCCTTTAGGAAAATCTTTAGAACAGTCAGATCCAACCCTTAAAGTCCCTTATAGTCTCCCCTTTCTTCTTTATTAAAAAGAAAGATAGGAAGCTCTGTCTAGTCTAGGATTATTATTGTCTCAATAAGGGTACTATCAAAAACAAGTACTTACTCCCCCTGATTCAGAAGCTTATTAATAAGACACATACATTCAGGGTTTTTACTAAGTTGGACATTTGATGAGAGTACAATAATATTTGGATCTAAGACAGAAATGAGTAGAAGGCTGTGTTCTGAACCAATCACAGATTGTACAAACTGACTATAATGTTCTTTAGACTAACTAACTTGCTTACAACATTCTAATCATTCATGAATTACATTCTTACAGATCTGATTAACTTAGAGAATATTAGTGTGTATCTAGACAACATTCTGATCTTTACTCAGACAGTCAAGCACTATTACTGACTAATCTAAGTAGTTCTACAACAGTTCTAAGATAATAAACTGTTCCTCTAAGAAGTAAAGTACTCTTTTACACAGGAGTCAGTAGATTATCTAGGCTTTGTAATTGGTAGAGGAGAGGTCTGTATGGATTTAGCAAAGGTAACTGTAGTTCAGAACTGGCTATAACCTTAGAACCTGAAACAAGTCTAAGTATTCCTTAGGTTTGTAAACTACTACTAATGCTTCATTCAAGACTTTAGTACTATTGCCTGGCCCCTTCACAATCTCACTAGTAAAAATGTTCTTTAGTAATAGGATGATTAGTAGTAGTCTGTGTTTGAGTCTCTTAAGTAGGCTATTACTAGTAAGCCTGTATTAGTAGTTCTAACAGTTGTGAACAAGTTCTGAGTCAAAGCCAACTCTTCCAACTTTGTAAATAGAGTAGTACTGTCCTAGTTCATTGACAGAAAGTAGTGTCTGATAGTATTCTAATCAGAATCCCTCTCTGTAACAGAACAGAACTACCTTATTTATAACAAGGAACTCTTTGTAATTATCTGTTCTCTAAAGGAGTAGTATTAATATCTCCTTAGTACTGTATAGAAGTTCAAGATTTAGAGTGATCACCTTAATCTCTAGTACTTCCAGGTGTCTTAGAAGCTTAACTACTACTAAGCCTACTAGATGTTAGAACTATAGAACTATAACTTTGTACTAACCTACAAACCTAGAATACAAATAACAAAAGCTGATTTACTCTTAAGACAAGTAGGTTATAAAAGGAGGGAGAATGATAACAAAAATCTTGTTCTCCTAGACAATTCCTGTTTTGTGTCTAAGACAATCTAAGAGATCTGACTCAAATCTAAGAATGTTGACTTTGTCACTTACATACAGTAAGCTCTAAGACACACACAGGACTAGGTTGTAGTAAAGTAGTTAGAGAAGTAGGCTAGGGATTAGGAGGAGGATAAGGATGGACAGGTTTACTAGGAAGGCCAACTATATGTTCTAAAGGATTAGAAGCTGTAGGAGGACATTGTTTAAGCTTATTATAACAATCTGACTGTAGAACATTTAGACTGACACAAAACACAGGAACTCATTACTCAGAACTATTAGTAGTCAGGAATGTAGAGAGAAATCCTAAAGTACATAACTAGTTACAATATGTACTAATAGACTAAGGCCTACTAGACAAGAGTTTAAGCTCCCCTACATTCACATTAAATCCTGGATCACCCTTAGGAAGAAGTCTTGGTAGACCTGATTAGTAAGCTACCTGAGTCTTAGGGTTACAATACTATCTGTATGATTGTTGACTGATTCTCTAAGCAAGTCTATACAGTTCCAATCTGAACAGAACTCACTTCTGAAAGTATAGTACACATTTATCAGGATTATGTCTTCTAGTTACACAGACTCCCTTAGAAGCTCATTCATAATTGTAGACTGTAATTTGAGTTGAAATTTATACAGGACTTGTATACACTTCTCAGAATTCAAGGGAACCCTTCTACTACTTATCACTTACAGACTAACAGTCAAACTGAGTGAGTCAATCAGGAGATTGAGCTCTACCTCTGAATGCTTATTAATCATTAGTAATTGGATTAGTCTGAATAGTTAGCTCTAACAGAATTTGTACACAATAACTAGTAACACTTTACAACAGGACAGTCTCTATTCTTTCTCAATCATGAGAGATATTTGTACTAGAGAACAGTTTTGAACCAGAACAGTAGTTCTGAATCTGTAACAGACTTTGTAAAACAGATACATAAGACTAGAGAGGATGTATGAGCTCTTTTAGAAAAGGTAGTACAGGTCATAAAGTAGAACTATGATTAGAAGAGGTCTACAGTCAAGGATTACTAACCTAGTAACAAGGTTATGCTAGAAGCTACTAATCTGACCTTGGATTGCTTAATAAAGAAGTTAGACAACAAGTACTTTAGACCCTTTGTTATTAAAAAGAAGGTTAGTACCTCTGTCTACAAACTCTAACTTCTAACAATATGGAAGTGTATACACTTAGTGTTTAACAAGGTTCTACTGTCTCAGTACTACAATCCTAGTTTTCCTTCATAACAAAGACTCCTACCACCTCTACCAGAACTTATCAGTTCTAAACTAGAATATAAAGTAGAGTATATAGTAGATACTAAGCTAGTGTACAGAAAGCTCAAGTTCCTTATCTACTAGAAGGGATACCCAGTTGAGGAATGTACTTAGGAACCTGCCAAGAACCTTGCCTATACTCCTAAGACAATCTGAGATTTCTATCAGCTTCATCCTAGTACTCTGTACAAACTCAGCCTTACAGATTTCCAAGCTCTACTGTTCTAACTTATGTCTGAGCTACTAACCAAGCCCTATGTTTACTAATTAGAACAATTGGTTTTAGAGGGGGGGTGATGTTATGGTTCTCTACTCTCTTACTTTCAGTTCTAAGGATTCTGCACCCTTCTATACTAGAACTCAGGACTTCTGTCCCTCAGAGGTACTGTCTATAAACTATATACATACTGACTCTTACTACTACCCTCCCTTACTTCATCATTCCATTCCTTTGACTACCCCTTCATTCTCTGTTCATTCTATAGTCTCTTACCCTTTGTCCATCCCTTCATTCTTTGTACCTTTATCTTTGACATTCCTTTCTTTCATTCTTCATAACTTATCATTCTTAGTAGCTCATACTCCCTGAGTACTCTTGTGTAGTTTAGTATATATAGGTGTACAAGATCAGACTAGTCCTGCAGTCTTGATCTTGTCTACTCTAGGTAGTCCTGTACTCTTAGGCTCACTCTATATACTCTACTCTTGTCTCACTCTCTCTCTCTGCCTGTTCTGCAAGTTCTGACTACATTCTGGTGCTTGTGTTCCATATTTCCATTGTGTAGGATAGTTGTAGCCTGGGTCCCCTCACTGAGCCTTCAGGTCCCCTCTATACTGTTGCTGACAAGGACAACATAATACAAGAGAGGGGCCTTGACAAAGAAGAAGCAGTGTCTGGATGTGGTGAATACAACCTAGACCTGTGAAGACACAATGCATAATGCAGGAATTTTGCCTGAAGGTGCAGATATGACTATAGAACAATTGCCTGTATAAACAAGAGTAAGAGGAGTGAGCTGAGAGTGAATGTAGGAGTGTGAGTTGAGAAGATAGGGGTGGACAGGTTGAATGCATGCCAGTGTGATGGAGTGTCACAGGAGTGTTCAAAGGAACAACTTTTGTGACATAATCTCACTTTTTTCTTATCTTCATATTAATTTTTTTACAGCACTTAATAGCTTGGAAAATTTCAGGCATATAGTATTATACATATAATCATTAGATACATAAATTTTTAAGTAAATTTTTGATGTGGAAAGAAATGCAGGGGAAAACAAAATTGGTGTTTAAAGGAACGTCCAATGCCTGTATTTTTCTCGTCAGAAAGCCTTACGGGAAGTCATCCATTGTATTGTATAGAGCGCCAAGTGATTTGAGAAGGTTAAGCGACGTTCGGTGATAAAAAGTCAGAGGCAACCTAACCAAAATCACAGCCTCGATAATTGTGCTTTTCACTTTCGCACGTGATTCGACTTGCTTCGTCACTCTGGCATCGGTCGCTCTAAGGCTCTTCTTCAGTTGCTTCCTGCTCATAAAGCCGTCCAGGTCGGGTGAAAGAACCTCACAGTAGAACGCTCTCAAAATATTATGTGAGGTCGCTGATGCTATGGACCAACCTCCGATATAAAGTTTGACTCGCTTCAGTACCTGGGCGCTTGACCGACTGACACCGACGCACATGCGCATACTCCGCATAACTATCGCAAGGTGCATACTTCCGTCCAAGGCCGAGCATTCAGTTTCAAGCGATGTCCAGATCTGAGCTAGAACAGATATCTGCTCTTATCAGCTCCGGATCTTTCTTTTCCTGCACAAAGCTTGTTGTGTTTGGTGTCCTTGCTAGACTCCGTTCTGCATAAAACCGATAACCACACATGTCGACAGACCCGTCTTTTCCTTCAGAAAGTACGCTCAGGCTCACTGCTAAAATGCACTGGTATTTGAACAGGCGTTGCAACTCACTAGACTCTAGAAATCCTCCTTTAGCTCCAGTAAAATAAACAGGAATCGGATGTCCAACCATTCCGAAAGTCAAGTCTTTATTTTGCAGCTCCGAAGGTGTCCGGACGTAAATTACACTTGATACGTTGGGCTAAATTGCTCAAACGACCCGTGTCTACTCCTTGTTTTACCGTACCTACAGTGTTCCAGTACTTGCACTTTGCCATAAGCTTCCACAGAATTACCGTACAACCCGAGATTAATATTCATCCTCCCTAATGGATACTCGATAAGAAATGGCCGGGTCAATTTCATGGGCTCCTCGTTTCGAACCGGTTTGCCCGTATTTCATCAATGACTAGATCAGCCCTTTAAATTTGATTCTGGCCCATCGAGCTTACGTGTTATGAAAAGCGTTGAAAGATGAGTTGAATCTAATGAATTAGGATTAAAAAATACGGACACGTAAGGTACGAACTACCCATATTCTACGTCCATGGCCCCGGTTCTACAATTATAGGGGGCAACAGACTCAGAAATGGATCGGCTTGTCGTACGACGCCATGGCTGCCTCCTTGAACGCTTCGCTCAACGTCGGCTATAAAGCAGAAAGTCAGTTAGTCGAAGAATTCAAGAGAAATTTTCAATGTTAGAAAACGTACATGAGCGTGAGTCGTTCGCGCAATATCCTCAGCACTCGCGCTATATTCCATAGCTAGCACAGCACTAGCAATCATCTCACCCGCATTGGGTCCAATAATATGTACACCCAATACTCTATCCGTCTCCGCTTCCACAAGGAACTTCACCATCCCCTCCGTATCCAAATTCGTCTTCGCACGCGAGTTCGCGAGGAACGGGAACTTCCCTACTTTGTATTTTGTTCCCGATTTTTGGAGGTCACCTTCTGACGCGCCTACCCATGCAACTTCGGGGTGTGTGTAGACTACGGAGGGGATGGCACCGTAGTTTACATGTCCGTGTCCTGTTTTGAGGTATTCTGCGACGGCGATGCCTTCTTCTTCGGCTTTGTGTGCGAGCATAGGGCCGAAAGTCGCGTCGCCGATGCAGCGGATGCCCTTTACGGATGTGTTGTATTGCGAATCGACCACGACGCGACCTTTCTCGTCTACCTCTACACCGACCTTCTCAAGTCCGAGGCCATCGGTGAATGGTCGACGACCAACAGCGACGAGTACGACGTCTGCTTCGAAGGTCTCTTCGTTTCCTCCTTTCGCTGCTTCTGTCTTTACGGACACAGGTCCGTCCTCGCCCTGTGGTTCCGCACTGAGCACCTTTGTGTTCAGTTTGAACTTCAGTCCTTGCTTGGCGAGGATCTTTTGGAACTGCTTCGCGATTTCTTCGTCTATACCTGCACCACCGATTCCACCAAGGAATTCGACAACAGTCACCTCTGCACCAAGTCGACTCCATACGCTACCCATCTCGAGACCAATAATCCCACCACCAATAACTACCATTTTATTCGGTACCTTCGTCAACTCAAGTGCGCCTGTGCTACTAACGATTCGCTTCTCGTCGATGGTGATTGCACCGCCAGGGAAGGGAGTGACTTCAGAGCCTGTTGCAATGACAATGTTCTTACCCTCGAGTTCGGCCTCTCCTCCGTCATTTAGTTGGACTGCGAGTCGGGTTGGTGATACGAAGGATGCGGTGCCTTTGATGTAGTCGACTTTGTTCTTCTTGAAGAGACCTTCTACACCTTTTGTTAAGCCTGTTACGGACTGAACCTTGGCTTTGAGCATGGTATCTAGGTTTAACGAGACCGAGCCGACTAAAATTATATTGTCAGAATTATGGTCACCACAAGAGGAGAAAATAGGAAGCGCGGTGTATTACACCCATTTAGGTTTCTTGAAATGTTCGTTCCCGCTCCCCTGTCAAATCCATCCAACTCCCTCCTCGCATTTCACCAATGGCAACTTAAACATCCAAAGCAGAGACCAAAACTCACTATCAATACCCCGATGCTTCATATCATGCATTGCCTGGTGGTACAAATGCGAATTATTCAACATTGCCTTGGACGGAATACACCCGACGTTTAGACATGTTCCACCAAGCGCACCGCGTTTCTCGATGCAAGCCGTCTACCATTGCATCATAAAGTACAAATGGTCCATAAGTTGAATAGAAATAAGAGGAAGTTAGGACGCCAGCTCATGAACAATGCGAAAAGAGCGCAGGACAAACCTTGAGACCGAGTTGTGCCGCCTTGATGGCACAGACGTACCCTCCGGGACCTGCTCATAGTTTAGCTAGGCTCAAATGTGACACCATGAAAGCAGACGAACCTCCACCGACGATGATAGCATCGTATGGTTCCGACGGAGTAGCAAAGCCTCGCACAGCGAGGATGCTGCCCGTTTGTCGGGACCGGGCAATGACCCGGGGTGATATCTACCAACTCACTTGTCAGTAACTTCAAATGAATTATAATCGCAAGACACTAACCCGCTGAGATGCTCGTAAAACCTGCAGCATTTGCGAACCCCAACGATGACGAGACGTGCAATGGTGGGTCGGAAATTATCATTTCTTCGCTTCGCGCGAATTATTCACGCACGTCACGTTACTTTGTTTATATAATAAAGTTATTATGTCATCTCGGTTGTAGTTGCCGAAAATGTCAACTTGGAATAACATCTTACCTTCGTACATTTCTCTATCTGCTTGGACGCAGTGGCTCAATACTAGACATTGTACGGCGAGCGCTGACGTTTAGTAGCCAAAAAGGACGCGTCAAATCTAGCTTATTCGCCGCGCGATTGAACTCTCGTCGATCTGAATTATTGACTCCGTGGCCCAGTCCGGGATGGTGGTAAATCACAACATATGATATACTTAGTCCAGCTGTGCTTTGTGAACGCGGTCTCCACGGTGCCTCGCACGACTTTTCTTTGATATTCAAAGCAAAATAACCTTCTAAATTCCATTATGTTCAAAGAAGCTCAACATCCCTTGCTCTCTTGTACAATGTGTGGACGCTTTCGGTAATACATCAAGTCGAGTCCGGTCTGTCCGTTTCTGTTTTCCGTACGCGATTTACTTTCGTAATGTTGTTTGTCTATTTATGAGCTGATATCATTGCTCAGAACGTCTTTAACTCCTCGCATTAAAGCGAGTCCGATTCTCCGATCAGGTCAGGAATCCCGACAGAGCCTAAGTTGAACATGTGAAGACGGTTGCTATTGTTAGTTCCACACCGTCTTCCTTTTCATTCAAACACCTTATTTGATTGACCATCCCATTACATGCGCAGAAGTTTACATGACCCTGGAGTTTCCCGAACTGATCTCAAGCCCGCTGCTACCGTTTCTCAGAAGTAATCTTCTAGCTTCGCGCTTTGTAAAACGGCGCATTTTCCTCGCATGTTGAATTTCGTGCTTGAGATTCCTTGCCACATGAGACTCATTGAGACGCCCCGTGATGTCACCTGAAGCATACACGTTTCTAGAATCGAATCAGGCGGCCTGACTATAGTCCAGAGTGCCAATATTTGTGGTAATCTAGACGTCAATGACTCGGTGCCGCATCCTATTATCTCCAAGGGTAAGCTTACTGAGTCATATTGTCATGTACAGCGTTTAATATCGCGGCTTCTCGAATATAGTGCTTTTGGTGTGACCACTCTATTTGGAAATACATCAGGCGGCGTCTTTCAATGATATCCTAGACAGTCTATTCCTGTGTGAATACGAGAAGACCCTTTGATGTTACGCGACTTTGGTTATTCTCACTACGTATACTGAACTGTGGCCGAGACCATCACTTGATTGGAAACCTTTGCTTCGCCAACATTCAATCTGGTACTACTACACGAGATGGGAACGTGAAATATACGAATTCGGGACTCGGATACGATGGGAATGGATGCGAGCCAAGATGGGTATCCTTCTGTCCAACTTCGTTTCTTCCGTCGGGCGTTTCATGGCGTCACCCATGAGAACGCCTCCCGCTCCCATCGTGTGTATGTGTATATTTCGGAACCTATGACCACTATTACTCGAACTCTCCAGAAGAGACTTGAATTCAGTATAAAGTCGTCCGACTTGAGTTATTGCTCTTAACACCTGGAGTGCACGACCTCGATTGCCTGCGTTCCCGCTTTACACCTTATACCCTCCCACAAACCCTTGACTTCATTATAACACGAATTCTTGATTCGTCGCTGTTGCAGCAAAATGGTCGGTCGTGACTCCTACGTTCCTCATCGTCGAGCCCTTTATGCTCTCCTCTGGATGATCTCCGTCGCGGAGCTTGGCATCACTGGCTTCCGCATTAACTTTACACGCAAGAATCTCCATTTTCATGGTCAGTCAGCTCCTCATCCGTACATATTAAAGTCTATATCGACATGAACTTCACCTAGACCCGATCGTCGCCGAGTTACTCGTCGTCTCAATCCTCACCATCATCTGGGCACCTCTAACCCTCCTCTTCCATCGTTCCGCTCTAAATAGAGCAGGCGGCACTTCTACATCCCGGTTCGGTGGCTTCGGCTTCCTGCACGGCGAAACGACAGGCAACTTCGTCATCTGGATAATGTGGTTCATCGGCGCAGCCATCGCAACACACAACTGGCCTACACGCGCCATCGCTGGACCAGGTAAACAGGGTCGTATTCTGATCGTCATTGTTGCTCTTGCGTGGGTTGCGTTTGGTCTTTTGACGCTTGCGAAGGTGGGAGCGATGATGGAGTATAGTGCGAGGAACGCTCTTGGGGGTAGTGCTGGATATTCGAATGGGTATGGAAGGGAGAAGGCTGCGCCTGCTAATGCAGGTGCTGGTAATGCAGGAACTGCGCCAGCCGCGAGTGTCTAAACTGGCTTTATTTTCCCTTTTTTTCCGACCAACATAAGTGCTTCGTTCCGTGCTGTATCCTTTTCACCTCCCTGTTCTGTCTCTATTCATTAGAGTATCTTGTTAATTATTCCAACTGTGGTTGACGACCCTCTTGTATTTGTATTCTAAGCCTCCTCGACGTTGAAGATTTACGATCGTTATATTTTTTTTCGCACTGAAAATGCTCTCCCACTGTGAGAAGTCATAGCATAGTATTTAAAGTTTGTGCTCGATACAGAGTCCTATATACATGTTACATTGCAAAGTAAACATAGCAACAGTTCGAGTCAATCAGTCCTTGTAAACTTTTAGCTTAGAGGCTAATTCAGTGCTCCTTCCGCATAAAAGGGCTTGGGAAAATGGGATGAAAGTTCAACACAACCGGATAAACCCTCAACCTTTATAAAGATATATGGGCTTACTCTCGGTCCATCACTTGGGCACACCTACTTCACCAAGGACAAGTTTCACAGTCTTCACCTCAAACCCGCGGAAGTCCAACTTAATCTCAACGTCCTTCGCGTCATCCCCTCCATTTCCATCATCCTCATTCGCACGGAACACCGACAATTCTTTAAGCTCGTCCTCGAGAATGTTCGTCTCGTACGCCTTGACGACTGGGAAAGCACCAAAGACGCGGAGGAATGCTTGCGCGTGGCCTCCGAGTGCTTCGTATATACGTAGAATGATCGTCTTGGGTTTCTTTGTTGTTGACGTGGTGGAAGAGGCGGTGCCGAAGAGATCGTCCTCCCCTCGTTTTACTGTCTCGAGAATGACGTTTGGTGCGCCGCGGATACTGAAAGGCGGTTTTTGAAGGATCGAAGTTGATTTTGTCAGTGTTTCTGTTTGGGTGTAGCGAACTGTAATATCATTCATCATCCGTCAGCTTCGAAACAGATGGAAATATAGACGTTTATTTTAAATGCCTTACCGAGTAAAGGTGAGTTGAACAGATACGCAGCCTGCACAACGTCTGACTGTAAGAAATGTCCAACGTGCGGAAGTACAGCCCACGAGAAATCATGTTCTCCTTGGTCCTGTTCGGCGTCTGGCGCAGTAGCTCCACGAAGGAGCGAGATACGCAAGATGTTCCCGATACACGAGAATCCGTATTTCGATTCCGAGAGGATAGCCACTCCGTATCCGTATTCACTCAGGTCGGCGTACTGTTGGAAATACCATCAGATGAGGATTTTGCCGGTATAGAGTGAAGATAGGTACGCACTTTGTGACCGCACACTTCGAACTTCGCAGCATCCCAAGTCGTGTTTTTGTGTGTTGGACGCTGAACCCATCCGAATTGCGACTCGTACGTCGCAGTGTCCGAGTGGATGTTCAAAGGCAACTCGACTTAATCGCGGAAAAGAATAGTGAATCTGCTGTGTAAATCGACATTATAGTAGGACTACCTACACTTAAGGAACTGGTGCCGTTCATGCCAATCGACATGGGCATCAAAGCGGAAGTACGGGCGAGAGCTCGGAGAAACGGAAGCTAAAAGCGCTCTCTGTTAGCTTTGATGAAATGAAGCAAGATAATAGTCTACCAGGGATAGCATCAAGTGAGATCTAAAACACAAATGAGTACCAGAACACGTTAATGTGACCAGAGAAACCTACAGTCACGATCGCCGTACTCTTCCCGATCTTCACAGTTGCTTCCACAGCAGCCCTGAGAGGTCCTCTTGCAACGACCTTCACGTCCGAGAACTTCAGAGGTGTCCGTTTCTCAAGGTGGTGGATCTCAACATCTACAAACTTATTCAGCGAAGGAACTCTCTTTGCGATGAATGAAAACTCTCACCCCATGCATCCCAGTAGTTCGGTCGGTCTTCAAAGATGACCATACCTCCGGACTCGCCTTCAAATATGAGTTCGCGCCTTGGTGACCTTATTTAATATGAGAGTATCATTTGCAGAGTTGGAGAGCACATACCCAATCTGCTTGTCGACGAGACTTGTAATACGACCATCACTAATTGTCAACTCAACAAATGCGTTTCGTAGAACGAAGTCGCCATTGGCTCTCGTAGACACTAACCAAAAAAATATGAATCAATACAAATGTGATTTGAATAATATTGTGCATACCGGAAGCAGCGTTACAATCTGTAGGGAACCCGCAAGGCGTAACAACACTCTGTCCATTCTGTGCAGCCACCAAAGCGAAGCCACTCTTTCCATCATCCGCGGTCTGCACAACAACATTCTTCAATTGTGAAGCTGCAGGACCCAGAAGCGGTACAGGAATGACGTCTAGACGGGGGAGGATCGTCGTATTGAAGGCGACGAGTGTTCCTGGTCCTGATGCTGATGACAATGCGTCCGAAGAAATAGGAACAGAGTGTGTTTGCAAGAGAGAGCCGATGGCATCGTCGATGAGCTCCCTTGCGCCCTTCCTGACCTCCGCGTAGTACTGCTCCGCGTCCTCATAAACCATGCCACTAGAAGGATGTTACCTAAGCCAAGCTAGTGGATACGGGTACCACTTACATGCTAGAACCCGGAAGGACTGGATTGGATTGGCCAGAAAATCAGCTTTAGCTAGAATGCATTAGAATATTCTCACCGTCATGGACTATAAAATAATAATTAGCCAGTATCACAACAAGGACAGACCAAAAACATACATTGACAAAGCAGAACTTTCTCCCATAACTCCTCAATTCGCTCTTTGGGATAATCATACTTCTTCAGCTGCAACACAGAAGCTAAAGTTGCCACAAGCTAATACAACTTCAGTCATCCTGATAAGTGAATAGTGAATAGAGCACGGAAACCAACCTCGACGTCCCGTAGCAGTATCTCCGACTCCCGATTTCCTTTCTTAATAGACCCTAAAAATACTCCTCAACAGCGTGCTGAAGCGAAATAGCAGCATACGAACCATGAGAAGTATACGTTCCGCGGTGGAACTACACATATGAAAACGTTAATCAGCTATGAGCCAGCAGATTAACTTGTCAATGTCAAATACTCACCTCGAGGTAAAGTTCACCATGCCACGCGGGCAACTTCTTCCCATGCGCAGTTTTCTTGTCAACATCACGGAAGAAATCTTCAATCGAATGGCCCATATTGACAACAGGGAGTTCGCGCGACTCGTTCGCTGCTGCTCGAATGCGTCGCAACTAAAAGCATTTTCCGCGTTCAATCAAGGACGAACAGAGGTTTTACAAAATGAAATGAAAAACGAACGTTCTCAAGCATCTTATTAAGCGGCCCTCCTCCACCATCTCCGTTTCCGAAAACGAGTAGAGCGGTGTTGTTTGACTCCAAATTCTGTCCAAAGAGAAAAAGATGTCAAGAAAATAAAGTATTCATGGAACGGGATGAGCTTACCTTGTGGTTCACAATGCCCCTACGAATGTCACCTACGGTTGCTTGTGCAGTATATGTGTCCACCTGTAATAGAACGTGTCAGAATTTGTAGTTAATGTGATACGATGAGATGGTATTAGACGTACTGGTGTCATGTGGCACAGTACTTGAGTCCCGTCAATTCCTATACCGCAGGTCAACAGCGCATCAGTGAGAATTCTGAACGATTGGTACATAGAACAGCGAACGAAACGAACTTACCAACCCAATTAAACGTCGAATGTGGGAAAACATTAACATTATTCCAACTCAACTTCTGCGTAAAGAAGTACTTCATTCCCGCACTCCTTATAATTTGCGGGTACGCGCCCGTTAACCCAAAAGAATCAGGTAACCACGCAGTCTCACAGCGGACACCGAATCGTGACTCGAAGTATCTCTGACCGAAGAGGAATTGTCGGATGAGGCCTTCTCCGGAGGGCATGTTCCCGTCGTTCTCTACCCATGATCTATTTTCATTTCGTTTCGTTCAGGATAGGATATTCAGTATGTCTTCTGAGGGAATGCGGGAAAGTAATTTACTTACCCACCGACTATGTGGAATTGTCCGCTTTTGATTTTTGCTTTGACGTTCTCGAATGCCTTTGGGTATAACTGTTCGAGCCACTTGTATTGCTGTGCCGAAGACGCTGCGAATCGGTGCTCCGGGTAACGGTTCATGAGGTCGACCTGGGTTGACCTGGTCAAGAATGAGTTAGCAGTGAGTAACATCAGTAATGCAGGGGTGAACTGACCAGCTACGAGCAACCTTTTGCTGCGTAACACGGAACGGCCAGAGCCATGCACTATCAATATGACAATGCCCAATCCCCCAAATATCCACCGAGTTTGTATCACCCTTATAAATATCCGCTCCCTTCGCCTGCCAGTCCTTTCCAAGGACGTCTTCCGCTACTTTCCGCGCACGCGAAATGCTAGCCGGATCGCCCGTGTCAAACGCATTCATAATGGCGTTTGCAGTCACGACAGCTTTGTTCTGAAGCGCTGTGTTTCCGAGCAAGGTGTCTGCTATTTCGCGTAAGGTCGTGAAGTCCCAGAGAAGGCGCCAGGCTTCTTCGTTTGGTACGACCAGGTCGGCGCTTGCTAGTGTGAAGTAGCGGTTCATGTCCGGAGGAGCGATAGTGTCACCGCCAGTTGGTACTCCAAACATTCCATTGCTGCAAGCATAAAGAGGTATCAGAACGAGGGAAACTATAGATTATCACGGTATGAAGCTGACCAGCTGCTTTCAATTACTATTTCATATACGCCTGCTTTCCGTGCTTTAGGTGGAATTATGTGGTCAACACGCCTATCTCCCCCTAGGTACTAACGTTAGTATTAAGTAAATCAAATCGTTGTATTATACCTCACCGTGGCCTCCCGTGATTCCTTGCAGTGGTGTGCCATCCGTAGAGAACACCATAGCCTCGCATCCCGGGTCGAATTCAAACTGCACACGCTCGTATTGTTCCCAGTAAGATGGTATATGCAGCGTCACCTTCCACCAATGGTTCGTCCACGACGGACCAAATGCATCTCCCTTCTTTGCAGGTCGGAACGTCTGCTTCATAGCTTCCTCGAAACTCGGTTTCGTCAAACCCGGGGCACTCCATACTTGCAGTTTCACATTCTCTGAGCCGTCCAAGCGGTGAGTGAAGAGGACAGAGGACAAGTTAACGTCTGAGAAGTGACCGCCTGTGAATTGGGAGAGACGATCCTTTGTGAGGTTCTTAATCCATTTTGCACCAGGACCAAGGTTGAGCTCCGGATAGGAATGTTCTGATGGGCGAGAATGATTATGGCCGTGATGACACCCAGACATACTCAGAAAATTAGTACAAGAGTCTGTCTTGTACGTGCAAATGTAACCGTGTCAACGAGAGAGTAGCAGATGGTATGATGCAACGGTCAGGTGATCGTCCCACGATCGTCAATCCTTTTATCTTGCCGATAGCATGTCCTCCTCTTACTGCAGCACATATTATATTCCGGATTGACCCCTAGTATTTATGCCACAACTTTGATCCGCCATGAAAACGTGTCATGAACCCGTAACTCCTTGCTTCGTCGTGTCCGGGTACATGGCAACCACTAACCTCTGACAGTATCAAGCATCGTGGCACATACGGCAGCTTTTAATTATCACAAGTTAGTTTAATGATCGACCCATATGTGCAGGTGCAACTTACAGTTCAAGTTACTTCTTAACATAGGATATATACTAAAGCTGTTATACGTTCCGATAGAGCTTTTAATTTAGATGAATAGTGTCGCATCATAAGTCTAAATGCGATCGAAAGCAAGCACCTAGGTTAAGAATACCCCATCCACCGGACTAAAACACTTATGCACTGATTCAAAAACAATGTCAGGATGTTATGAAGCTCACCAGAAGGGGCAATATCTTCAAAGAGCCCAAGAGGACCTCTCCAGTCTGGCATTTTGCTGTTCTCATTTAGACGGTCTCTTAATTGGTGCAGACATTGCCTATGTCTATGATGAGTTTTACACATATTATTATTACTTGTAGTCCACTGTTACTAATGGCAAATGTTATGAATGCAATTTGAATGCAACTGAATAACTCCACATAAATATGTCAATTATTCATACATTATACATCCCTACACGTAGATCCCGCTATCAACTCCGCACATCCAACTTACTTTGGTGATCCAACGCCTCTAAAACAGCTGTCGTCCGCAAAATCAATGTGCTCTACGAACAACATCAACAATTCGCATGTACTCTAAGAAAAAAACCGAGAATCTACTTACCTGCATACTATACTTTCCCTTCCGAAAACGCTTTATTAAGTCGAGATGTTTGAAGAAATTAAATTTCATCTGGGGAAGAGAGCTTACTTTTCTAGTCGTCGGGTCTGTTTCTAATGGCTTGCCTGTTTTCGCAAACAAGTCGTCAGTCAGTCATATTATCTATCACTATATGTGCGCGTGTGAATGGAGATACAGAAAACGAATTGTCTCACCAGATAAAACGAGTTCAAGATGATACCGCGCTTGCTCGAAATCTTTCATACAAAGGAAGAGTCGCCCGAGTTCGTAATCTTGTATGAATCAGAACGCACTATTACAATTGCCGATTAAAACTGTTGGGATAGACGTACGAGCATTGTAGAGTATATAATGATCAAGATGGATCTTCGATCCATTCTCGATGACCCATTTCAGCGAGCTTAACGCTTTGTTCTCTGCTTCCTTCCGTGCAGAGGGAGTGATCTCATCGTCTGAGGAAATGACAGCGTCCTTATCCTGTCAAAACTACTTTTCAGCTCTCTTTTGTCATCGAGCAATTAACTAAGAGACGTACAGGATAAGCGTAAAATCGCCAGCATACACCCCTTAATAAATGGGCAAGGCAAAAGTCATCCCAATAGCCCAACCCATTCCCGAGATATAAGCTCTCCTTTCGCTCGAACTTCGATATTCCTTCAATGGCTTTGTCTACGTCAGGGATCATCCTTTCTAAAAGGACATCTCGTGGTGCATGGTCAATCGCCAAGAACATGTATGCAAGCTCAAGAGCGGGGAGGAGTAGCCTGTTTCCTTGGGATTTGAACTTGCGTGCCTTCCGGGCGACGAATTTCTATTTAAAATATCAGTACGAGGTAGCAACGTGTCTTAAAGGATAAGGCATACCTCGATTGGGATTGACTTTCCAGCTATCTTATGTACGACTCCCGGAATCCTCTCCAACAACACCCCAGCTTCCCTCTTCCTCTCCCTCCCTTCCTCTCCATCAACACCCATCTGCAAAAGACACGACGCTACACCATATATATAACATGCCTTACTCCACGTCGCTTCTTTCTCCAACGCGCGCCATTGTATTAGTGCAGCAGGTACGTCCCAAAGACTCATATAAGCCATTGCGAGCTCCCAGAACGAGACATAATGCAAGCTGTGATATTGGGCTTGTACGGAAAGCGCACGGTTGTGAGATGAGAGCGCGACAGAAGGTTGGGAGCGGAGGATTGCGAGGCGGCCTTGTGCGAAGAGAAAGAATACACCTTTAGGATGAATTACTTTAAATGAATTTTTTGGTGTCGAGTGATGTGATACGACACACCATTTGGAAATCGCTTCAAGTTCCAGTCGAGGATGGTCTGTGCCATCTCGAGGTCAACTCCGCGGTACGTCACGCTGGACACGACCAGGTGGAAACATAGAAGGCATATATCCACGAGCGGTCTTCTTATCCCCTCTTCTTCTGCAACGCATAATTAGGACAATCCAACAATTGCACTATAAGTAATCCACCACTTACCGCTACTAACTCGCGGTTCCTTCTCCCCCTTCACCCATCCGCCAGTCTTCATAAGTAACTTCAACCCCACCTCTCGATTTCCTTTATATCCGAATATCTCTGCGACAGCAAGAAGTCTCTCAGGCATCAAACTGAGTATGAGGTTCGAAGCTCCGACACCGAGCTCAACCCCCGAACGGAAGTCTTTGTCTATTGATTTATCCTCCGGTCCGTCTCCCCGCGCGCGAGCTTCGGCGTCGGCGCTTTCTAGGTACTTTCCGAGTTGTAGGTAGATGTTGATCATGGTTCTGAAGTTTAGCCTTTGTTTCATAGGAGTTAGGATGATGCGAGGTTGTTTATGAGATAGCGAGGACTCACGCTTCAGTTAAGAAGCTCAACCAACTCCCGGAGCAGACGACACCAAGCAGAGCCTATATAAATCCATATCATTAAGTTAAACCACCGCATGACAGAATGAACTTGTGACGAGCCTTTGCAAACAACGTTTCCGCATACAACAGCTCCGCATGTCTCTGTACGGGAGTCATATTCCTAATAGCAGAAACACCTGTAACAGACGTCTCCCACACAAGTCCCACTATTCGCGAAACAAGCGGAGGTGCAGGTGCACGATGTTGGTACGCCAGGCTATTCCCGTGCTTGACTTGTTTACTGGCTTCTTGTAAATCCTACCAGACAAAAAGAAATTTTTAGATCGATACAGATGTTAATGAAAGATAGTTATGTACTCGCCTCGTCCTCGTAGGACATTAACGCCTTCAGACATTGAATCAAACAGTATCCAGACGTAATGTACAATCTTTCCCTAAACCAACAACAACAACAACAAATTAAACATAAGTCCATAACAGCCCGTAAATGAAATTGAAAACGCAATCAGCAAGCAAATGTACTTACCTCCGTGGATCCAATTCAATACAATACCGCTCCGACTCAACCATATTAGAGTTAAGGAATAAATATTCAGCATGTTTGATCGCTGGGAGGTCGTCGAGCGCCTTCTCTGGGGAGTACGAGCGTGCACTTGTGAGTTTTTGTGCAGGTTTCATGATGATTACGAGCGGTTGACGTGTATGAGAAGAATGTGTACAGCGAAAGGTTGCAGATGGGGATATCTCGGTAGGCGTAAATTTTGCTGCCCTTAGTACAGTAAGCCTTGCAACTAGACGGTTTAAGTATTCATATGCAGTCTATCGCAGGCCCAGAAACAATGCAAGAGGTCAAGAGAGCAACAAGACCGTAAACAATTTCAAAAAAGCGGAGTATATCGGAGCAAAATAAGCAACAGATGTAAGCAAAGCAAAGAGAGATATCAGACAATACAAGGTAGGTAGTCAATGCAGCCGAGACGGATAGAAGGGAGGGAGCTTCACCACCAGGATGAAGGCCTTCAACGAGTCCACGATCAGGGGTAATTACAAGTGCAGCTCGCAACAAGATTGTCAATCAAGGCAAGAGATACGCGCGACGCGTCAATTGATGAATGCAACCGTGGTAAACAACTGCTCCGTTGCTATTTCGGAGCCGAACTAATAGTATCGAGTCGCAATGATCGTACATGATATTCGCCAAATTGTATTCACAATCTAGCACCAAATAGAGTGTTCCCGGCAGCAATAATATGATATATCTATATTACATTGACAACAAGAGAAAAAGAGACTCAGAAAATCCACCCTATATCAAAACATGCGGCGCGCTAGATAGTAGATACTCCATAACAAAAGCAAAGTCAGAAGCAAGGAATGTAAGAGAGAAAGACGGACGGACGGAAAGGAAAGTAACGCGAATAAATGAAAAATAACAGAACATCAGAAGCACCCAAGCGTACTGAGATTAGATCCATAAAGTCAAGCAGGCAGGTGTAGGCAAGAGGCAAGAGGTAATGATGGATGGCAAGGTAAGTACAAGGAAAAATAACGTCAGCAGGATAAATTACACAAAACCAATTAGCAAACGCAGCAAACAGTAAGTCCCTCTCAATTAATCCGAGTCCGTAACACTAAAATCAATACTCTTCAAATCACATAAATGCCTCTCATGCTCAGGTTTAAGCTGCAAACTCTTCGGCGACCCAGGCATCGAAGAAAGCATCGACATCTCAATAGACGAAAGTGACAACTTCGTTGTATGCCGGCTCTGGTTCTGATTCTTTTCGGTGGAAGTTGAGGATGACATTGGCATAGGTTTGTTAACGTTAAGCGTAGGTGAAGGGGGTGGTGAGCCAGCGGAAGAAGGGTAAGTGTTAGATTGTTGTAGGAGTGCGAGGCCTCCGGATGGGTTAGCGCCATTGTCATTTCCGTCGTCGTGTAGAAGCATTGACATGTTACTCGGCATGGTAGGGAATATGGACGAAACCGTACTAGCGCGCGTACGCGATCTGTGCTCACGCGATTGCAATGCCATAAAATCAGGAGATAAAAAAGCATCTGCGTCACGAGCCGTGTCTTGTGCCTCGGTACTATCGTCGTCCGTCGCGAGAGAAGCTATGGAAGCCTGTCTCAACGCATGGATCCTTTGTGAGGGACTTGTCCGAGGGCCAGAACGCTGATGGCTCAATAGCCCACGAGCGAATGAATTTGGCACGGAAGGATGGATAGCAATACGTCGCGCATCTTCTAATTGGTCGACAACATCTGCAAGCTGCTCTTCAAGGTCGTGTATCCGACCTTGTAATTGGAAATTCTCTTCTCTCAGCGTCTTCGACGTCCGCTGAGAATCAGCCAACGCAGAAAGCAGTGCTTCCGTCTCCACAGCATGCTTTTCTCTCAACAAAGAGAGCGTTGACTCCAGATGAGCAGCCTGGTACTGTTGGTGTGGAGAACCACACGACAACGACGTAGCAGTCGACGACGAGAAAGCCGTCCTCGTATTACTCGACGTCGTCGTGGTAGCGGTGACAGGACTCTCACCTCGCGCAGTGGCAAGCTCAGCCATCGTCAAAGTGCGAGACGCAGAACGTCGACTCGTCCCAGCAGATGACAAGTACTCGTGTTCCGAGTACGCGGTGCGTGAAGTGTATGAAGATAAACCCGAGCTCGTACCCGCACTCCCACTTGGTGGTGGCGGCCCACCACCTAGGCGGTAATCGCGTTCAGTACTTGCCCGCGAAGGTGCCAAACGCATTCGAGACTCGGAACGCGGAGGTATCGGAGGCGCTCGGTAGTCTCTCGTTGGATTCGTGTTCTCGTCTAGCAAACCCGCTGCAGCAAACGCACGAGCAGTCCGTGGGCCCATCCAATCGGGAACATTACGGGCCTGAACTCGAGCGTCATGTGAGGCACTCATGCTACGCTTTCGGCTTCGTTGAGGTATCGGCGGTGCACCGCGACCAATCGTGCTTAATGCCGTTGCGGGTCGTTCAACGGAGTCTGTAATCAAGACGCGCCGAGTACGATTCGACAATCCAAGAGAGGTGGCGGAACGTGTGTGCGAACTTGGAGTGTACAGACCAGTCGATAGCTCGTCTCTTTCGTGTGATCCACGGATGTACGGCCGAGCCCCATCAGAGGAGATACGGCCAGTCTGCCCAATGTTTGCAGTGCTAGGACGAGAAGGCGTCGCATATAGTCGCGTAACAGGTGCACGATACCTAGTCGTCTCAGTCGATGCAAGAGGTCTTGACAGAGCCGAGTTCGATCGTCCCAAAGTAGGTCGCCGCACTGTCTCAGTGAGATCATCTAGGGACGTTCGAGATGACATGAAATCGGTATGGGGTGTGGGAGAAAGGTGCGGCTGGCGGACGTTTTGGTGCATAGGTGTTCTTTCCAAAGACCTTCTGCGCGTGCGGTCGGCAAGCGGAAGTGAATCGGAGGAAAGTGCCAAGGATGACGGACGAGATCTGCGGACAGGAGAAGATTGTAGACCGACGGTTCGCCGACGCGAATCCACAGAAGTTCGACGAGAAGAAGCCGCAGAAGGCCAGAGATCCTCCGCGTCCACACTCACACGCTTCTTAGGTTCTTCGGGCTCTGGTGATGGCTCTGGTGATGGCTCTGGTGACGAATGCATTGGCGGTGGAGGCTCTACGGAGTCCACTACTGCAGCAATCGCCGCCGATGCAGCGTTTCGGGTCCGCGTTAGTTGGTTTGCTGGACTTAAGAGAGCAGCAAGATCCGGGTCAAGTGCTGTCAAGTTGAAGCTGACTTGTTCGCTTTCTTGATCACATTCTGCCATATTAAGTTGGTCATCGGACTTCGATGTCAGTGGCACTGAAGTGGGTGGCGATGGCTCTTCAGCCGGAGAAGATAAAGTCATAGGCGATGCGGAATATGAAGAAGGTGAGGGCGATGAACGGCCGTTCAGATCGGGGTCTGGCACCTGTAAATGTAGCGCTTGACGAAAGTCATTTATGCCGGCTTCCCACGAAGCACTAAGGTCTGCAGTTGCTGTAGTGATGTCCATGTCTTTCGCGTGCATGATTGATAGATCATTATCGTCTTGCGTAAGTTGCGCGAGTATGGGCGAGTTTGTTTGGCCGTCCAGGCCATCCCTCCCCTTCGCCTTCGGTTGTTCTTCACGCACCTCCTCTTTGATAATCCTTGGAGGCGGAGAACCGTGCGACATAGACAAGTTTGACAACTCCGATTCAAGAATGGTCGATAGTTCGCCACCTGATCGGACCGTTCCAAAGTCTTCTCGTGACGAGCTTTTTTGGTGCATGTTCAGCACGACTATAATGCAGAATTTAGTTATATTTTGTTTCATATACAAATATATTTACTTACCATTTGGAGGAGCTTTCTTGAACGGATCATCCGACAAGAACAGCCCATGACGAGCAACGTTAGATTTGGTCGTAGTAGCTGAGGGTGGAGCAATGCTTATCACAGGCGGTTGTTGTGGACCAGAGTCCTCTGAGCGAGAGCGATTCATGGATGGCAGGTCAGGGAGTATCTTTTCTTTGGTTATGTGAAGAGAGGTACGGCGTCCGACCGTCAAGAATCCCTGCTTCGATACGCTCGGCGTTCCAGCCGGTGAAGGAATTGATGAGCTGCTCCTTCGATGCTTGAGATCACTAGGTGGGTTCGACGTAGGTTGTGGTTTCGTCAGTTTGCGAGTGGAAGCTGCGTTGCTATTCGCTTTGGAGCCAAAGGGAAGCATGTTTCTCAGAGAACGAAACTTGGGGATGGTCGGGTTGCTTGTGGGTTGTGCAGGTCCTTTTACGCTCGGCCGAGACGATAAAGAGGAGGAGCTTGAGCCACTCGGTGGCATTCGTGGGGATGGTAGTCGAGAGGACTGAGATAGAGAAACATTGCTTCGCGACGCTGTCGTTTTGCGTGACGCTGAGGATGACGCGACGGGAGTATACGAAACGGAGAGCATATCAGTGGATATGCGCCGGAATCCGTGCTCGTCCATCGTTACGAGTTTTTCTGCGCCTCACATGAATGCTTTTGGTGAATGGACAAAGCCGAGATCACGTACGAGGTTTCCCAAGTCTTCGGACTCAACCTAGCTGGATGAGGACAGGCTAGCCTGTCGTATCTCCCTTGGCCGTCTAATTCCGGAATGATGCTCTAACTGGAACGTTTTCGTTAGACGCCTTGCTATCTTTCGTATAGTGCAAAGTACACAAACGGGATGAGCCTTTCCAACCAGTCCGGGGGAAGACGCGTTCAAAGCTGCAGCACGGAACGCATTTGAGGTGGCCTTTTGGAACGAGTGGTGCGTCTAGAGAAAGGTGTGTTTAAAAGACAGACGGTGCGCACAGACAGGCGCTGCGCTAGACGAGGTAGTGAGCCAGACAAGGGGCAAGAGCCAGCACGGGACTTTTCTCTCAAGTTCGGACATGTCCATATTTGGTATAGCAGATATTCATAATTAAAGCACGTGCAGTGGCACTTTTCTCCCGCGACGGCGCATCACTCTTTCTCTGACTGTAATCTCAATCGATTATTCGCATTTTCCATGGTGTACTGTACCCTTTATGCCGGCGTTACTCAACGTACCGGCCGTTGACCGCTGTAAACTATCCTGCCCTCTAATTACTCGCAAGGCCATCTAAACTCCGTTCAACCGTTGATCCACAGACAAAGCTCCGCCTCAGTACAGCACTATTTCAGTATCCTTTCCGTTAGACTACGCTTCGGAGATGACACTGTGCACGACGCCACTGCTCTCAGGACTTGTACGCCGCCACTTCGTCCGCAAGCCGCCACAAGTCTACTTTCGACACTATCAACGGCTGTAGCCGCTGTACGTCAATGCATTCCCAGCTTGGTGTGAAGTGCTTGCACGGCCGTTCGCTGGGAACAGAAGCAGTGAGCCTGAGGACTAGCTTCTCCAGAAGATTGCTGGTTTGAGCATGATTTTTACTAGGCAACCTTCCTGGGCAAAGCTCTAGCTTATACATATTCAATCCCTGTACATGCCTTACTTGAGACATACACTCATCTTGCTTTCAGAATAGTCTCCTTTGACTTTAACCTGTTGTTGTAGGGTCGACTTGGTGCATCACTATGAGTGTCAACATCCAGCATGAGTGGAGACAAGTTCCTCCAGGTCCCTACACGAGTGCGACGTGGATTTACATGACGTAAATATTTGGTAATTGAGCACCTGTGGTGCAATACGATCCCCTACTTACGATTTCATCTGTTGCACTTTGCTGCTCACAGACGTGCTATGATCTACATGCTTGACCTTGGAGCTGCAGCGTACTACCCTTCTAGTTGCACCTATTCTTAGTACCCACAGCCAGCCATTCAGCTTTATTCAGGGAAACCACGTCCTACATAATTTATTGCAGGCTACAGACAAGCCTCACACATGCAGAATAGCAAAATCGCTCAGATCTCAGAAGGAGATGACTCACAGCATGAATCTGGAGAGCATGTCTTAGAGTCTTCAAAGAGGCCGACTTCAACAGGTCCTAGATCTGTGTGCCCGTTTTCTGCTATGGGCGAGCTTACTCGAGGATCCGAGCCGCAATATCAGTTTTTCGCCACTGAAACCGAGAAATTCCATGCGGAAATAAATGAGCCTTACGCGGCGAGAATACCAAACGTAAGTGTCTCATGTCATTTTGGCTTTCCCATTCTCTCACGCTGAAGAGGAATTGAACAGGACAATATTCACGAGCATAGCGATCCATACAGCGAGAACAGCAAAAATATAAACACACATTCGAGTCCTTCGACTCCGAGTGCACTACTTACATCATATATGCATAGACGATCATCCACAACCACTGGCAAGCGGCGCTCCAGCATAAAGGAGCCAGAAGACTTGGGAACCGAGATGGACTCTCTTCACTCATTTGCTATTCCCACTTACGGAGACTTTCTATCCACTCGAGTCAATGTTCACTTTGGACGCTCACCAAATCCTTGTACACTGTTGTTTGACAGTGGGTCTGGGCGAACATGGGTAAACAAAGCTGTCTATAAGGAAATGACGCAGAGTGAAGGCAGACGGCTCGGAATTCGGGTTCAAATCAGGTATGATTGGCCAGGGCAAAGTGATGATATCTGTGGATGGTTATATGAGAATTCCATTTGGTTCGGCCCTGGGAACCCAGTTGTCGAGAGGTTCGTATTTGCAGTTGTTGATGAACTTGACCAGCCACTAGTCACCCAATTAAGATTGCAGAAGAATATTGTTGGCATGCTTGGTTTTCAACTGGCAAAAGACCCCTTCCGCGTAAACAAAAGTGTACCAGCACCATCTGTATCTTATTTGCTCATGAAGAAGCTAGCTCCGCACCTCCCTAGTATTAGTATTGATTTCAGAATGCCCGAACAAGCAGCATATCAATCTGTTGACATTAGAAGAATAGAGGTGCCTGGTTGCGTTCGAATTGGTGATCCTGAGGGCAATCCACTGGGTCGTCGGAATTGGAATTGGAATTGGCACAATGCATCTAAACTAGAAACGAGTGCTGGTATATCACTTGTCTTATCCACAATAGTCTATTATTCAAATGTAATGTCGAGGCAATGTGTAACGAAAACAGACACTGGAGCGCGCTGGATTTACTTTCCAAAACAAGAGCTCAATGCCTACATTCAGGAAAATAATAAAAGATCGAAAATACTGCACTACGATGAATCGTACAAGTTATTTTATTTAGAAAGGGAAAATTTGAGAGAACTTAGAACCATAACGTTTATGTTCAACGAAAAAATACGTCAGATACCGAAAGAAGGATTAATTATGCCACAAAGTCTACTTGAGAAATATTTTGGCGGAGGGAAGAAAAACATGCTGTACCTCACACTTCAGGAATCAAGGAAAACTGCAAAGCCTACAGGAACGCCGATGATAATTTTAGGACATGTCTGGAGTAAGTAATGGAACAGTCATTCACATCAGTTTAGTATTTAACACTTTCATCAGTTACTCGATATGATATTGTCTTCGACTTTGCTAGATCGAGGATTGGTCTTGCAGAGGTTGAAGGGAAAACCGACTATGTATGGGATGAGTTACATTAAGCTGAAGAAATTAAATAGAGTGTCAAAGTAAATGAAACAATAGGCTCCACAAGTATAGCTCATTATAAAAAAGTTAAATCTATTATTTTTCAGATGTGAAAGACAGCCTCTGCTTAGATTGAGTGGAATACTTTTGACGTAATTACTCTGTAATTGGCTACTATGCATTACAGTACAGTACAAATATCACCTTCTTTACTTCCTTCCATCAAAAGGCACTTTGCTGCACCACGAGTCTGTACTACTCTCCTGGTTTGCATCACACTTTTATCCCTGTAGTTTCATCTGCTCTCCAATACACACAGTCAGTAATTTAGCCTCATTCAAAATAGCTACATTCTATACAATTTATAATAATAAGTGACACACAAGCCTCAAAATGCAGAACAAAAATATTGTTCAAGGTTTGGAGGAAGAGGCCTCAAGGTATGTATCAACAGGGGACGTCTCAGGATGTACAGGGAAGCAATATTTCGCAAGCTCTCAAGGATCCGAAGTACAGTATCCTTTCTGTGCTAGTATCAATGAAACTGAGGGGAACAAGGTGATAATAACAACACCTGGTATAGCGAAAATAGTTGAAGTAAGTATCTCTCATGCCTAAATATGCCGAGGCACTCTTACACTGAAGAGGACACTTTTACAGGACAATACAAAGAAGCAAGACAATTTTCAACACAGAGGGAACAGTAAAGGCAACAACACTGATTCAACTCCAAGTCCTCTGTTTACATCATACATGCACAGACGATCATCTGTGGCCACTGGCAAGCGCTCGAGAGCAAAGGAACCAAAAGACTCGGGAACTGAGATGGAGACTCTGAAGTCATTTAATATTCCTGCTTATGGAGACTTTCTCTACACACGAGTCGATGTTCATTTTGGAAACTCGCCGAAGCCTTGTACACTGCTGTTTGACACAGGTGCTGGATTTACGTGGATAAACAAAGAACTCTATGAGACAACCACCCCTAGTGTTGGCAGAAGGCTTAGAATAACGGTCAAAATAAAGTATGAATTTGCCACGGAAGAGGACGATATCATTGGCGAGTTATATGAGAACTCAATCTGGTTTGGCCATGGCAATCCGGTCAATAAGAAGTTCGTATTCGCGGTTGTTGATGAACTGAATCAGCCGTTAGTTTCCAAACTGAAATGGCAGAGAAATATTCTCGGTATTCTTGGGTTTCAACCAGGAGAAAAACCTTTCTTCAAACAGACAAGTATAGAAGCGCCATCAGCATCCTATATGCTCTTAAACAAGCCTACTTTATATGCTCCGATTATGAGTATTGACTTCAGAATGCCTAAACAAAAAGCATATCAATCTGTTAGTATTAGCAAAATAGCAGCGCCCGGTCATATTCGCATTGGCGAAGTCGAGAGTAATGCGTTAGATCATCGTCATTGGATTTGGCACAATGCAACTAAGGTAGAAACTCCTTCTGGTACTAAACTTCTCTTGCCTACAATTTTTTATTATACGTGTGGGGGCACATATGTTATCTCAGAGGAGTACATGGCAAAGATAGATACTGGAGCACGCTGGATCTACCTTCCAAGGCAGGAGATGAATCAATACATTCAGGCAAATAATAAGATACTGCAATACGATGATTCATTGATGTTGTACTATATGTCAAAAGAAAACTTGAAATACCTGAAAGAAATAACATTTATATTAAATGGAACAAAGTATCATTTGTCCAAAGAAGCATTAATAATACCACAAGGGCTGCTTGAAAAATATTTTGGCAGAGGGGAAAAAAACCAATTATATCTCATCATTCAGCTATCAAGGTCAAAACTGGCAACTACAAAGAAACCAATGATAATTTTGGGGCATGTCTGGAGTAAGTCGTGTATTTATCATGTCGGCTGGTCTCGCACCTAACGCCTTCAACAGTCACGCGCTACGACATTGTCTTTGACTATGGTGGATCGAGGATCGGTCTTGCAGAGGCTGAAGGAAAAACTGACTATACGTGGGATGAACTGCATTGAAGCTGAAAATATTAAAATATAATCTCGATAAAGTAGATGTATATCTGATTATCGCATAGATTTAGATGCCAGCCTGTTGAGCCTGTCCGAGAAAAGCCTATATCTGCTAAACTAAGTAGACTAGTGTTTTCACAACTTTGGAAGAAGGTAACTTAAAAAAATTTCTTTGTCGATTTGTCCGATACTCCGGTTCCATTGAGCTTATACCATTGTTATTACAATGCAACTAAGGTGCAGTATCAATTGACTATGGATACATCTCGAACAAATTTACCTAGCAATGGCACCATGTAGTTGAGACATCTTTCATTATTGCTGTTCAACGTCTGCAAAACACTGTCCACTGATTGGTACGTTAAATTTAAAACTTGAATTGCAAACTAATAGTAGATAGAAAGCGTATTCAGAACGCACTCCGTATACATTAGATGGAAGTGGAAGGCCGCTCAGTGAGCCTTGGTGCACACGGGCAAGATTGCGGACTTTCAATATCGACGGATCGGCGTTCTTTTTCAGTCACGTTTTAGACCTTTGCTCGTCTGCGACTGCCCTGCAAGTGGTGTAGAGAAATGTAGCTGCCTAATCAATCAAGGACACTTTGCTGCTTTGCTTCACAGTGACTCTCTCACTATATTCTGACCACTCGCACGTTTCTCTCATTTAGTCTGAGTTTGTTGTGCACTATCCCAAGCAACCGTCCAAGTGTAATTGCTCTCGCTTGTTGAAAGAAGTCTGCTCAAGAAAGCCAGGCTTGCTATAACTATGCAAAGAGATATCTTAAATTCACAAATCCGGAATCGTACTCTGCAGTGCTCAGACAGAGCAGAGCCAGAGATTGGATATACAGAGCTGATCTCACGTTGTTCTTCCTCATGCCCTAAGTCAACATGCTTGCCTCCTGTCAATATGCAGGAAATTGAAGTACGGCATCAGCCTGTCACTACAAAGATTGATGAAAGTAATGCAATAACAAGGACTCATACTGCTCAAGGTGAGATGAACAGAAATGTTCGTCAAACATCAAGTGCTCTACTTTCATCATACATGCAAAGGCATTCATCAGCAGGCACTGGCAAGCGGTCTAGCACAAAGGAAACCAGTGAAATCGAGATGGATTTTCTTCGATTATACACTATTCCCACACATGGGAATTTTATTTGCACAAACACCAACGTTTACTTTGGAAACTCCGAGCAACCTTGTGTGTTAGCGTTTGACACAGGATCCGAATGCACTTGGATAAACAAAGAACTTTATGAAGCAACAGTCAGTAATAAAGGTATAAATCTTGGAATTCATGTCAGGCGCCAGTATGTAGGAGTGGAAGGAGGTATAATCGGAGAATTATTTGAAAATTCAATCTCGTTTGGCTCTGAAGACACAACTATTGAAAACTTTAAATTCGCCGTTGTAGACGAAACGAACCAGCCAGCGGTTCTCAAGCTATAGCGCTTGGGAATATTAGGTATTATTGGCTTTAAACCAGTAGCAAATATTGTTTGCAGTCATGTGAAGATAGTGGTACCGTCGGTATCCTATTTATTACTGCAGAAGAAAGCCGCACTTGCTCGTATTATTAGCATTGATCTCAGAATGCCTCAACAATCATACCAACATATCAGGTGTAAAGATACCCCGGCTTCAGGTCAAATTCATATTGGAGGGTTTAAGCGTCCTGTGTTGGATCAGCACAATCTGTGCTGGTTCAAGGCAGAGAGAATTGAATCTGGCCACGGCAAATTGTTTGCTATGCCTATCAGAGTTGCATTTGCATCCCACGGCTCAGAAGAAGTCTCTGCACAATACATGGCAGTGATAGATACCGGATCAACATGGATATATTTTCCAGAGTCTGTGATGCAGAGCTACATCGAATCAAACAATTCGACTGATAAAGTCGTACGTTATGATGGATCAATAAAGTTCAACTATATGCACACAAGGAAATTTAAAAACCTGGTAGATATGGTCCTCAAGTTAGACGAAGGAGAACTCCGCGTACCAAAAGAAGCGCTGGTGATACCATCCGATGTGTTCGGGAACTATTTTAGTAGAGTAAAGAGAGACACATTGTATCTCACTCTTCAGAAATCAAGAGCAAAGATGAAACCATCACAGATGCCCATTTTAATTTTAGGACACGTTTGGAGTAAGTAGATTTTTTTTATTACAAAACTTATTTTCTTACCCTGTCACCTACTTGCTCAAACAGTAACAAGGTACAATATAGTCTTCGACGAAACAGAGTCGAGGATCGGACTTGAAGAGGTTAAAGGAAAGACTGATTATACTTGGGATGTACTACATCAAAGCTAGTGGAGTCAAGCAGAATATCGTAGCTAACAAATTGTAAAATGTTTTTTTATCTGTATTTTGATGATGAAACTTGTCTGCAATAAGTTAGAACGTGCACGTCAGACTGTATCTGTTACGAGCAGCGGCTGCGCAATTACTTTTTAACAATATTCATCAATATTCATGACAAAGGCACGTGATACTGTCGTCATAATTATACGACGTTGTTCTGGCACTTCAGATCCCCTTGCTTTCAGCATGCCAGGTGTATTAAACATTGCAATCGTCGGAGGTCACGGAAATGTACGAAAGATGTCGTTTCTCTTTACTCAAAAATAGGACTAACCGTTCAATTTATAGGTTTCCATGCGGCTCGCCCGCCTTCTAAGTGCTAGAACAAACACCCAAGTTCTCTCAATATTCCGTAACCCTGAGCATACCAAGGAAGTATCGGAGACCGGGGCTTTACCACTCGTTCTCTCTCTAGAGGACGACCCCGCGGAGAAGATTGCTGAGGCATTCGAAAAGAAGGACATTGTGTATTTCTCTGCAGGCGCTGGTGGCAAAGGAGGCCCCGAAAGGACACGCAAAGTGGATTATGAAGGTGCATTGAAAGTGTTCGACGCGATTGAGCTCATCAGAGGAGCAAAGCCGCGCCTCATCATGGTGTCTGCCATTGACGTCAGGGATCCCAACGTAATTCCCGCGCATTATGTGCGTGTATTTTCTTATTATTACATAATTCAATGCCACAACTACCGTTCTTCTATTAAAATTTGAAGGATGAAGAGGACAAAGCTATATCCGAGAGAATGAGGAACGTGATGCCCGCATATATTCAGGCGAAGTATGACGCGGACAAGAACCTCGTTCAGCGTACTGCTTTCAATTGGACTATTCTGCGTCCTGGGGGACTTTCAAATGAGCCCGGCACTGGTAAGGCATCTATCGGCAGAACTCATCTGAAAAATCCTATTTCTGTCAGTTCGCGTTTTCACTACTCAGTTGCGACCGAGATTGACTCTAGTAATAGAGAGACGATGTCGCGTATACTTTAGCACTCCTTGCCGACCGTCCCGACGCGGCTAGACTCGGAATCGACCTTGTTGGCGGTGAAGACAAGATTGAAGAAGCGCTTGATGCATTCATAAAGAAGGGGGAATCTGACTTCTTAGGGTGAATTGGTTGGAAGTTGAAATAATTTCAGATTGTGGAAATAATAGAGAAGGGAAAGACGTTGATGTACAATGGAAGCAATGTGAACAATAATATTATTCACTTGAAAGACTACCTGGAAGTTACCGTTTAGTGCCTGGCATCAAAGCTTGAGCGCCGAAAATTTAAATGAATACTTACTATTAATATTATCACTGGCAGCACCTGTGATCAATGTTTCGAAACGTGGCGAATGGTCAGTTTTGAATTACTTAAGAGGCTTAGTGATGGCATATGTTGACCCAGAATCGGGGCCCGCTCCTACTGTTGTCATGCAGTGTGTCTTCTCGGTCAGAGGTGGATAAAGTTAATATGTCTAAATTAGTGGTATGCACAGCCTCAAACTACAAATTTAAATGCTTAAGAAAAAACTAACACATGGATCTCTAGCGTCTGCACCTTGGCTCTCGGCTGAATCCTCACATCATGCATGTCCATGGACTGTTCTTTCGGAGTACGCGCCCAAGATACGCATCAAAAGTAAATCGGAGACTTATATTGCTCATGGTCTTCTTGCCTGAAGCGCTGCCACTGTTGTGTAGAACGTTCCAACCTAGGAGTTCTTAGATCAGTCATATCAGAATGCCTCAAACACCACGGATATTGAAAAGAAGATCGGGTAAATGTTATGAATAGATACAGGCAACACGAGTTGTTCTCGTGTATTTTTTAGTCCCTCTGGTTCGGTGGCACGCTGGATACACCCTCCATCTGAAAGCTTTCTATCTGGAAAGGGTCGATAATTTCAAGTCGTATCTAACGACTTCCATTATATCTGATGAGGATCAGAAGGTTTTAAGCAAGGATGCAAACGCTTGTACAGGCATTATTGGCGGTTCCTCAGCGCTGTGGTATACCTTTCCGTTGTCAACTCCTCGGACCAGCATGCAGTCGGACATATGCGCTAACCCCAGTAAAGGTAGTCTAAGTACAACAGATAGGGAAGGAGGCAAACCCAAGCGATGACCTATCTGTCGACTAATCGGATAATTGTATGCGATGTGAAGGTGAGCACGGCGTCGCTAATTTGCGCCCCTGATTTACTTACGTAGCCGCCGACAGTCCGGCGAGAAACACGCCGTCTATCATGGATGATTCCGGTTTAGCTTCAAGGTTCTAAAAGTGAATATAAGAGACGCTTGCGCCAGCATCGGTGCAGCCTCACTCCCCACCAAGTTCTCATACCTTGACCTAGAGTCGAGGAGTTGCTACTAGGAAGACATGGCCTGTGAGAATGCGAACGAATACATGTTCCACGAAGTCCGCAAAGGCGTCTTCGAACGGAATTGCTACGCATTGGAAGAGTACGTGGCTATGATGGAGTAAGTGAACGCCATCCAAATCTTCTGCGTTGATCGTATTAAGTATCCTATAGGGAGTACTGTGATGGTTTTGGTCACCTTACCATGTCGACATCTGTTTCTCTCCCGTCGGCCCCGAGTCGTGAAGTTCTTGAAGAGAAAGTCAAGGCAGCATGGACTGCGTTCCGGCACTTCACGCCAAACATCGCGTGCAAGGTTTTTAGGCGTTCTGAAGGGGACAAACGCTTTGCGTTTCGCTACATTGTACCACAGACAAAGGAAGATGTAGCGGCATGGGTTAACGAAACGGTCTTCTTCAATGCCGAGTCGCCAGACAAGAAGGCGCTGTACGACAAGCACTGTGAGCTCAAACACGGTCGCTGGTGGAGGAGCTCGGAAGATCATTATGCTGTTGAGCTACATGTTTCGCCGCTGGGTAGTGATTGGCACGTCAGGTGAGCGCGATATGTACGCACGTATGGTTGTAAGAGCAAGGCAAGTTGATGCAAAAATCCAGCTTGATATTTTCGCATAATAGCATCGACGGGCGCAACTCTTTTGCGATGACGGAATTGTTCCTCGAGTTCTTGAAGCGTGAAATGGAAGGTGGAGCAAGACCCAACGAGACGTCGGATTGGGGTTCAGAGGTCATAAGACTTCAAAATCCTGCGTCATTCATAGCATCCATTGCGGAGAGTGGCCAGCCTCCCGATATCACGCTCCCAAGCTCCAAGCCTAAGGAAGGTGAAGACGCCGCCGCTTCACCCATTGTAAGCGTCTCCATCCTCCGTGCCTTGTCGAAGTCTTGATCTTTCTTGTTTTCTTGCAGGTTCCATGGACATTTGCACCGCGACCAAACGGCGAAACGGGTGATGTAAGCCGTCTGGTCCGCTTTACTGAAGAAGCAACAACGAAACTTCGAGACCTCTGCCGAAAGAAAGGAAAGACGATTACGCAAGTCGTGACAGCGCTCACTGCTCTCGCACATACAGAGACAAGACTGAACCGCGCTGGTAAACAAGGACCGGAACGGTTTAACGAGGTTCTCGGCACGTATAAAGCAGCGACGCACTACCTCACGCCTATGAACGCTATCAACCATGTAAGTGACCGCCACCTGCAGTGATTGAATAACCAGGTTCTAAAGTCGCCATAGAGAGGAAAGTTGCCAGGTGGATATGATTCGTACCAGTCACCAAAAGGAGCACCACTTTGTTCTGCTGAGAGTGTCCCATTGACGTTCCCAATAAGAGGAATAAAGAGCTGTATCGAGATAGACGAGGAGAAACTCACTGCGTCTCGCATTGTTAATGAGCAAGAGTTCTGGGATGTCCTAGTTCCGGATGTCGCGAGTGCATGGAAAGCTGTAGATGTGAGTGACTTGTACTGACCCACCTGTCGTTATTTAATGAGTCTTTCAGCAATCACTTGAGAGCTATGCTACGCGTGAGGTAGCAACTCACTACGCCATCGAATCCTTTTCGCCACAGATATTCGACTTACCACTAATCCTTATATCTTCCATCGGAGACATGGGAAGACTCAATATACTCGCATCTTTACCTTCTTCCCAAGCCAAAACGAAAATTAGTCCAGACGAAAAACTGGTTCTCAACGATATCATATGCGGAGTCCGCGTACGGATACCGCCGACTATAAACCTCTTCTGGGAGTACCAAGGCCGTATGACATATCATTTCATGACTGGAGGTGACTATACGACAACAGAGCAGTTGGAGAGCCTGGCGAGGAACTTTGAGGAATGGACCAAAGCGATTGTCGTTTGACGTAATTCCAAAGTAATCAAGCTAGCGTAGTATATGTCCATATGATATATGGGAAATAGGCATTCAATGGTTCTTCAGTCTATTATATATTCGAGAGGTAAGGAGTTGGTACAGGGCGAGAAGTGACATAGAAGATCGGCGAGCGAGGGAGAAAAGTCGTCGAATCACGTGTTACTGTCATTTTCATAAATATTGTCACACGCGCGATTCGTGATTTTCGTCACACTAAGTACACTCAAATACAAAATCTATCATAACTCAACTAATACTTAACCAAATTACATGATCTAAGTTGTAAAAAATATACTTTTAAAGTGTCTTTCATATCCCAGAAAAATAAAGTAAAATGAGACAAATTTGAGTAAGATACAACACAATATGT